AAAAAAAAAAAAAAAGAGAAAGAAATTACTTCAAAGACCTGGATGTAGCTGTTCTCCATACCAATGAGGGAAAGTATTTACTGAAAATAACTATGAACATCTTCAAAATACGCCTCTGAGAAAAAGCCACATATGCCAAGAAATCAGTTAAGGTTATCATCCTGTAGCCAAATACCAGTTGTCTGGCCTCTTCTGACAAGTGGCTCTCCATCCATCCTCAAGCAGAGTTGCTGGATTGATTTGATTTGATTTGATTGATTCTTTCGAAACACAAGCTGAATATCACATTGTTTTTTCGCGGCTGCTGATAGAGAGTGCTATCATATGAAGAAACTCATCTGGAGCCCAATATTCAAATGTCAACCATGCCAAGATGAAACTGTAAGGAAAGGAAGTTGGTATTTATGAAGCTATGAGAGATGGCAGCTAGCTCAACGGAGAATTCATCACAGGCACACAGCACCGTGGTGCTACTGTTATGAAGCTAAAAAACCACCCCCTGTAACATCTGCTAGAAAGCTCCCTCTGACTATATCAGAAATTCCTGGTTTGGAATCTCAGAGGGATACTTTTTGTCCATGAGCATTATCTCTGATAGCAGCAGTTCCTACAATATTATCTTACTGATGGATCGGCTCTACTCATTCTGTATTGTTGCCAGAAATAAAATAAGACAGGGATGTGGCTCAGTAGTGGAGCCATTTGCCTTGCAAAGGACCTTGGAGGATTTTCTGTTCGTGGTCTCTCTCATGAAAAGATGGGCTTTTACTGCCAAGAAATTGGCAGAAGAAAAACTGCTTTTAAATTTCTTTCCTCTGCCTGACTACACAGTCATTTCACTATATTCCCTAAAGCTAAAGAATCTAAATTCATCTTTAACTCTAGTACCAAATAACAAATTTTATTTTAAAGATTGTGTGCTGCTTGGTACAGATTTGTAAGTGAAAGTCTATTCTATTAGTGCTGTATTCTGAATTAAGTAAAAGTCTTGTAGACCAATGGCTGTCAGCTTGGGGATAGTTTTGACCTTAGGGGATATTTGACAGTGTTTGGAGACATTTTTGGTTCCTGAAACCAGGGAGAGTTACTGGCATTTAGTGGGTAGAGGCAAAGGTTGCTGAACATCCTGTAGTACTTCATCAGATAGCCTCACAACAAAGAATTATCCAGCCAAAAATGTCAAAAGTGCTTGAGTTTTACATATACATATAGAAAAAATAATACCAACTTTTTTTGTACCAGGGATCGAATTCAGGACCTTGCACTTACAAGGCAGGTGGCAGAACCACTGAGCTAAATTCCTGGCACCATGTTTTGGTTATGTTGCAAATAATCTGGAGTTAGGCTAGATGTGATAGATGAAATAACAGTAGCAATGAATTACTGAGTGCAAGTAATGGGTATATAAGAGTTTACTATGCTGTTTCTTATTTTTATAAGTATTTAAATTTTTCTATGTAAAATAAACTTTCTGAATATTACTGGGATAGAAAACTTAAAGAAAGGTGAAAATGTATTTCCTTTTCCCTTGACAGGCCCTGTTAAATCTGGCAGAGCGACTAGGAGAGGCTAAGCCTCGAGGACTGACAAAAGCAGATATTGAACAACTTCCTTCTTATCGGTTCAATCCGAACAACCACCAGTCAGAACAGACTTTGTAAGTGTACTTTTTCTGACATCACTATTAAATTACTTTTTTTCTTTACAAAATAAAATTCTTAAAAGTCAAAGGAAACATGATAACTTACGTATCTAAGAGTCTATGCTGACCAGTAAGGTAGCCACTAGACACATAGAGCTATTTAAATAAAGTTTAAAATTAAATTTCTTAGTCACACTATCTAGTTACTGCTTTATTGGGATGTATAAATGTAAAACATGGGAGATATATATTTTACACATACCATAGAGTTCATCCTTTTAACATGTATAGTTCAGTAGTTTTTAGTGTATTTGTAGAGTTGTGCAACCATTACAACAAATTGAGACCCTTTTCATCACCCCAGAAACTCACTCCAACCTTCACCTTAATACCTCCCCCCAACCCTTTATCAACTTTGTGCCTCCGTAGATTTCACCTACATGGAATCATGTAATTTAGTTCTTTTTTGTATCAGTAAAGCATCCCTTTTTGTGACCAAATACCCAATTGTGTGGATATACCACATAATATTCTTTCGTGAGTTGATGGTCGTTTGTGTTGCTTCCACTTTTTGGTTATTATGTATACTGCTACTTTGAACATTTGTTACAAGTGTTTTTTGTGGATATATGTTTGCAGTTTTGGGTATATATTTGGAAGTGAGTTAGTGGTTCATAGAGTAACCATATGCATATGTTTATAACCTTTTGAGAGCAGCCACTTTTTCCAAAATGGCTATACAGTTTATATTCCTACCAGCAATGCACAAAGGTTTCAGTTTCCCTATATTTTTACCATCGCTTGTTACTGTCTTTATATAGCCATCCTTGGTTTAATGATATTTTTTGCTTTTTTCAGGTGTGTAGTATGCATGTGTGATTTTGAGTCAAGGCAGCTACTTAGAGTCTTACCCTGTAACCATGAGTTCCATGCCAAGTGTGTTGACAAGTGGCTTAAGGTAATGTATATCTGTAAAGGATATACTGAATTTTCTGTTGTTGACCATAGGTTCATTAAAGTAAGTTTATGGTTTAGTGGAAGGGGTGAATACAAGAGCAAATTGAAACTCAGCTTTTTACACTTCTGTCTTCAGATGAAGAAAAAAGATTGATAAAAATTAACTGCAGGCCCAAGATAGACCTCAGTGGTAGAACATGTGCTTCACATGTTTGAGGCCCTGAGTTTAATCCCCACCACCAAAAAAATAAACAAAATAAAGTTATAATCATGGTGAGAGTGATCATGTAAAATCTGAAACTAAATTTCTGTCCTTAATGATCAGTGTTTCCTAATTTTCTCATGATGCATAGGAACAGGACCTGAACTTTTAAATTATACCAGTTTCCTTTATGAGTTTAAAAGGATACTTCACTAGGATTCCTTTGCCAGAGATTTGCACAGAAGTAAACTGTTTTAATTCTGTGTGTGTGTGTGTGTGTGTGTGTATGTATTTTTTTAACTGATCACAAATTGATGTGATCAGTTCACATCACTGACTATATCAGGTGAAATTAAGTAACAGAAATAAAAATTGATGCAATAAAAGAATTTAAATGGTCAACTTTGTTATTTTTAAAAATAGAGTTCTGATTTACAGATAATACTGACTTAGGTAACTTCATAGTTTTATGAAGACATAAATAAGGAAATAAATCATTTCTGTGAGCAAGCACATTTCAGGAGACCCATCTTAGCCCAAACTGAATCCTGGAGACGGACTTTTCAGAAAAAGAAAGCATTATATACATGTAGAGCCTTGACATGTGAACAGAGCATGATGAGAAAACCACATGTTCCATATGGCTGATAGCTGGAGGCTGAGGAACAGTGGCAAAGGAAGAGGGTTCAAAACTATAACCAGAGGCTAATCTTTTGGGAAGTCATTCTGAAGTGTGAAAGAGTTTGGATTTGATCCTGAGAGCAATGGGAAAGGATATAGCTGAGATTGTATTTTAGAAAGATCATTATCTGCTATTTAGAGAGTGGAATGGTAGGGGTAATATCTGAAATAGGGATATGGAGTAAGGATGAGGTTCCAGTCAGAGAGGTTCAAGTTTTCTAGCTCAACCAGCTGGAGAGGCTGCAGTGTGTTTTTGGGTATGCCTGTACACTCTCTGGTCAGCAGGATGGGGTGGGGTGCTAGCTGTATAAATCTGACAGCCTAGGGTATTCTATACTAAGTTGTGATTCTGTATCAAAATTAAAGGCTTTAATACAGAAACTAAAGGCCAATTTCTGCAACTTAAAAAACTGTATAGTGGCAGCTGGATAAAAAAGGACTGTGAGAGCTATCTCATGTTCAAATGATCCCATTTGGTGAATAAGGAGTTACAAGAAGTAAGAGAACAAGATAAGTGATGTTTATGTTTTTGGCTTTAGCAATTTGGCTTATAGTACCAGTTGTTGAAATAGAAGAATGGGTTTAAGAACCAGGGAAGAAGTGAGTAGATCCATGAGTATAGATAAAATTTCCTGTTTTACAATGAGGCTTTCCTAAGTACCACTTAATGTGTTATAGCTTCATTAAGAATAGCCAAAAGTCAAGCCTGGGATTTAGCTCAGTGATGCCACTGCCTGCCTCACAAGTGCAAGGTCCTGAGTTCAATCCCTGGTACAAAAAAAAAGAATAGCCAAAAGTTACCTGTGTAGGATCTTGAGTTTAATCACAGTACTGCAAGAAGGGGGAGAGAAAGCAGAGGTTTTACTTTTAAGACAATTAGTAAATTTATCAGTGAGGGTAATCATGGTTATACAGAGGTTTGTGGTTATGTTATTTTCATTTTATTTTCTGGGGAGTACCAGGGATCAAACTCGGGTCCTTGCGCTTGTGAGGCAGGTGGCAGAACCACTGAGTAAAATACCTGGCCCTTGTGGCGATTTTTTAAAACATGATTGTTTTGTAGCTCTTTAAAAGGATAAAGATTATAAACACTATATTCAAGTAAAGTAGTACCTTGTGTTGTTTTGGTTTGGTTTTGAATTTGTCTGTTTGATTTTGAGACAGGGTCTCACTGTATAGCCCAGGCTGCACAGCTTCCTTAGTGCTGGGATTACAGACGTGCACCACCACTCCTGGCTCCCCAATGTTCTTAATGTATTTCCTTGTATAAACTACATTTCAGACAAAGTACCTCTTTTCTTTTTTAGGCAAATCGTACCTGTCCAATTTGCCGAGCTGATGCTTCAGAAGTACATCGGGATTCAGAATGACCAACCTAAGAGCACAAATTTAGTTTGGGTGTTCCTCATCACATGTATATATGGACTATCCATTGAACTTAATCTGTGTGGCTTCCAGCCTTCCCTTTACCAAAAGGGTCAATGGACCTTTCTTTGCACTGTGTGACTTAATCAACTATAAAAGCTTACAAATAGTCTTCACAATTATGGGATTGTTATACTAACTGTGTGATTGGAACTCCAAAGACTTTTTCTTTAGCTTAATTTGTGTGTGCACTAACATTCCCTGGTTTTTGTGTGATCATTCCGAGTGTTGCTGCAAGATTACAGTGGACGTGATCTTTTAGCATGTGCTTTTATAAAAAAAAAAAAATGGTAGCTCCAGATGATATAGCAATCTACCTTATATAGAGCCTTCAGAAACTGTGAGTGGAAATGAATGCAATGAATGACTGTTGGTGATAAATGTATCTGTGTGTGAGAGAGTGTGCAACTACTTGTGTGAGGGCATGGTAGCTTGTGTGTATGAGATCTATATACCAGCATGTACCAAGAATGTGTGTGTAGTTTTAATTATGCTGCAATGTATAATCTGGTGTGTTATTTAAACAGCACTAGTACTGTACACTGGTTTTTCCCCTTGTGTTTGCTGTTGCACACTGATTGCTAAGGGTGCATCAATTATAAGCATTGAATACTCATCCTCTTCCCTCCCAATGAATGGAATGAGAAAAGCCTTCTTCCTTTGCTTCAGGCAGCTGTCACCTTCACTTCCTTGGTGGTCCTAAATGGGTCACACAAGAAAAAAAGTGTAACATAAACTCACTCCATGAACCTTTTTATTGTAAAAAGGAAATTTTTAATCTCCAACTTGCTGTTTCCAAAAAGAAGGTGCAATATCATACATAATCAGTTAGCAATATTAGCATTTCAATCATTGATTTGAATGTTGATACTTTTTTTCCTTTACATTTCCAGTAACTGTCTTACAGAAAGAACCTGATTTTTTTTTAATGTTTAGATTTGTAGTCTATTCTGAAGATATTTGAGTAATATATTTCTAAGAAATACCACTGGCCCCATAAAATCTTGCCTTCTTGACTTCTACCAGAACAAAATTTGTTCACTCAGTTTGATTTCTGATATGTGTTCTTTAAGTTCTCATAGGCAACTAAATTGTTTTAAGAAGATTGTATTTCTGTTTATATTAATTCACCTGCCAGGCTGAAAGTTGTTTAGTTCTTTTGTAAGTAAATGAGCTTCTCACTGAGACCCTTGTTTCAGGATGGATCAAGTGCTGTAACAGTTCATGTTCCTTAGACCTGATTTGCTTTGATGTTGTGCTGCTTTTCCTTTTTTTGTTTGAATGAGAAAAGTTCAAAACAAGTATCCAGAATATTGCAGTATAAATGAAGGTTTGATTTTTGTATGAAATAATAATGCTGTCAAACAGGAATTGACCTTCAGTAGTAGATCTGAAGTAATACCTGACCATGTTTTTTTTAAAAAATGGATTCATTGCGCGTAATTCAGATTGTTCAAAGTCATTTTCCCCTACAACGTTTAGATTCCTTTCTCATTCTTTAGTATATTCAGTATTGTCCTCTCCTGCAGTTGCTGTCATACTTTGTTTGCAGTAGCACATGCTGCATTATTCCAGTCAGGACTGTGATAACTGCTGCCAGCCTCACTCGATTCTCAGTTGGCTTTGAGTCAGTTTTGTACTCAGACAGTGTTAACTACTTGTTACTGCCATGCTGCTTGCCCTCCCTTGAAGTCTATAATAAGCTCATCACAGCCTAGAGTTCAGTAAAGTCAATTTACACAGAAGCACAATTTTACACTGTTGCCTCTATCTAATCATACAAATAGGATTTTACATTCTTTCTCTTTGCCCCTGGATTTGTCTCAGAAGTATACCTAAACAGTGGTAAAATGCACATATTACTTTTAAATCATTAGAATTCCCCTCCTGTTTCTGTTGAATAAGAGTGTATTAAAGACCAAAATTACTGGCATATAATAATCAGCTACATACAGATCACATATAGTTTAATCTTTATTTTTTAATTAAAAATCATGTTTAAAATGGCAAAAGCCTATCTTATATATAGACTCTTTTATATAGCTGCAAAAAAATTTATATCTGTACAGATCTAATGTAACACTATTACACTCAGTATTCATTTTATTGAAGCATGCAAGTAAAGCACTTTTTCTAATTTATAGAGATACCTAATTAACAAGGCACATTGTACTAATGACTAGGAAAGTAGCTTTTTCTTCCCTTCTGACTACGAATTCTTGTTCATAATGTCCCTTTTCCAGTAAATTTTTGAGAGGCAGTCAGCAATTCAGGAGGTGGCAGGGTTTGTTTTGGTAAAGTCCAGAGTTTAATTATGCACTGTTATTACTGATCTCTCTTTGAGAATGTCTTATCTTTGCATGGGGGCTCTTAACAGATGTATCCAGACTTGCTTACTTAGTGGTTGGTGTGTTATGAGCACATATGCATGTGTTCTGACCATCTCAGACTGGCCACAGTGAGCAACTGTGCAGCCAGCAAGTGAGAAAGAACAGTTGATTCAGCCTAGCTGTTGTCACCTCAGATGATGCAACAGATTGCAGGCAGATGTAGATTTGTTGCCTTTGTCTTCTTTCCTCCTAAAACAATGTTGGCTTTACCATCTTAACTCCGCTATGGGTCTTTTGGGGGGTTTTTGTGGGTTTTTGGTTTTGGACATGAATTGTTATGCTTGGTATTTTTTAACATACCCCACAAAACATCTCAAGGCCTCCAAATATCAAGATCTCAGAATTTTTCTGTCCTGAGTTTTTTGGTTTTTTTTTTACAAAATCTGGAAAATGTGAAAGCATATTTAGATTTTATACATTCTCAGAAAATTGATTTGTTAAGATTCTTAAATTTGGACCTCTTGTAATAATTTTGAATGTGATCTACCAACTTATGAGAATATTTTTCAAATAGGTTTCTAATAAAGGCCTAAAGATATTTCCCCTGTTGGTACATTTGGTTACCTCATTTTGCTATTTGTTTCAGATTATGAAAGCTCTCACAGGGGTGTTTGTTGGAATCTTTTGCTGAGTCATTTCCTCAAATCATATTCCATTGTATCAGTTGACATATAGTTTTAAATGTATGTATTATAAATATCTGTAACCAAATCATTTGAAGGCTTGATAAATTTTTAACAAAGTTTGTACATTTTTTATGAAAGTTACTAGTAATGCTTTACTAAGTAGTGCGATGAATTTTTATTTTTAATCCCTGTGCCCAATTTTGGAGTTGAGAGGGTTGTTGGTAATAAATGTATGATGTACACTTAAAACATCTGTTGTGTTTCACATTACTATGGTAAGGAAGAAGGATGGAGTTGTGTGCAAAGTGGTATGAGATTCCAGTGGAAAGATAGAGCTAGGTTGAGCTGCTAGCTGCTGGATCTAATTTTTGAACTATATTTCAGATTTATATTTTCAGCACTGGTATAAAGAACTTATAAACAAAAAGAACTAGTATTGCTGGGCCTGGCAGCACCTGGGAGGCTGAGGCAGGAGCATCACCAGGCCAGCCTGAACTATACAGCAAGACCTTGTCTCAAAAAAAAAAAAAAAAAAAAAAAAAAAAAAAAAAAAATGTATAACACATTATACATAATTATATCTTTAAAAGACCAGAGTTCATCTCCCCCCACCCCCCGCAGTACTGGGAATTGAACTCAGGACCTTGCAGTCGCCAGGCAGGCACAGAACCACTGAGGTACATCTCTGGCCCCCGTCAACATAATAAGAGAAAAGGGTGCCTCTGCTTGTCATTTTCCACTTTTTATAGTAACCTTTCTTTGCAAAAGGAAGAAAATAAAAATAGCCCCTTTATCTACATACAGACCAGTGGCGACAAACCTATGGCACAGGTCCTGCAGCAGGCTGTTCGTATCATTGAAAGCTCTAAAAGTTTTCACCATCACTAATAAAAGACTTTACTGAGAGAGTGACTTATGACTGGATCCAATACTCACCTGAAAGAAGAATGCAGAAAAATGATCAAATCCTATTTTTTTTCTTAAGGCAAACTTCAATGCTAAAGTTGTCGAGGCTGGCCTAGAACGTGGTTTTTCTGCCTCACTTCTTCAGTAGCTGGGCCTAGAGGCACACACCATCACACCTGGATTAAATCCTGACGCCCCCCCATTTTAATACTTTAGAAGAGTGTGTGCGCCATACTTTGAGTACATCTAAGTGTGTCACTGAACCCTGAGCTTGTGCAGGCTTAGGGCTAAGGCATTTATCTGGTCAGTTAGTACCCAGTAAGGTAGGGAGAGGCTGGTTGTGGCCAAAGAACCACAAGCATGGACTAGGTGACCTTTGCATGTGAGAGCATTTAAAAGCCCTTTTAATCTTTTCTTCTGCTGTGTAATGGTGGTCCTAGACGTCTGTAAAAAACTTGAAATGTGAACACTATATCAGGACTTCATCCTTGCCAATTCATTGTTCTCAGTAGGCTTTGATAATATCCATAAGCACTGCAGGATATGCTAAAAAAAAACCTTCACTGACTATAATTTCATACATTACAAGCCCCTGTTTTGCATTATGTGATAAAATCCTTATAAATATGGTAGATCACAGCCAAGTGTTTTAGGTCACCTGTACTTCAGATTAATGAGCTGGATAGACAAAGCTCTCAACAGAATTAACCATGTGGATAATTTTAAAATTTCTAGTAACCACCTGAAAAACAGTTGATGGCCAGGCAATGGTGTTGAATGTCTGTAATCCCAGCACTCAGGAGGCTGAGGCAGGAGGATCACTGTAAGTTTTAAGGCCAGCCTAAACTATATAGTGAGATCCTGTCTCAAAAAGCCAAAAATGAATAAGTAGTTGAAGTCATTTAATATATTTTAACATACCCAAAATATCAATATGTAATCAGTTTTTAATACATCCCAGTTTGGACTAGGCTTGTAGATTGTGGCTACTATGTTAGATGACACAGGTGTAGACCAAGAACCAGGCAGGTTACCTGGTTTCTAAAGAATTGAATTTTATTCTTGTTTTGTTTTGTTTTTTGTTGGTACCAGGGATCGAACTCAGGTTCTTGCACGTGTGAGGCAGGTGGTGGCACCACTGAGCTAAATCCCTGGCTTGTTTTGTTTTTTGAGACAGGG